TCCTGTAGTTGCTCATCTTGTCTCCTTCCCACTTTCACTGCTCTTCCAAAACTTAGCTTGATACGTTTGTGATCGCTACCCAGACTTCTGGAGCCACCTTCATCTATGTGCATTCCCCTGAGCTTATCATACATTCTATGTGACATCAGTGCATAATCTATCGTCGACTGAAGCCTTCCTACCTCCCATGTTATTTGCCCTTCACACTTCTCGGTACTGTTGCAAATGATCAAAGCAAGCCTTTCACACATATCCGTGATCATTTTGCCTGTCGGGTCGGTATACCCATCTATATCTTATATGTGCGCATTCATGTCTCCTAGTATGATTATCTCGCACTCTCTTCCTAACTCCTGAATGTCCTTTGATATACACTCTACTATTGCCTGGTTTTCCTCTCTGGCCTTTGCTCCCGTCCACAAGCACACGAAACCAAGGAGTGTCATTTGACCTGCCACTTTCCCTTTTAGCCATAAATGTTCCTTGCACTCCTGCGTGACCCTTTGCCAGTCTGTACTTTTATGAATGAATGCCCAATACCACCCCCCCTTTCTGCTGCCTTCTGTTCTATTACAATATTCCCACGCGTAGTCCGGATTGTTCGGAGGTTGTTCCATGTCCCTAAGATGTGTTTCTACAAAACCGTATACCATCGGCGTCTCTTCCCTTAGCTGTTCTTCTATCTCTTCCCACTTCAGCCTGTTCTTACCACCCTGCATGTTAATATACCCTATGTCTGAATTGGCTCGGCGCTCGTGGCTACGTCTATTTGTGCCCCGGACTCTACCTATCTTAGATATTGGTGCCACTTTGGAATCGTATCTGTCCATACCACCTGTCGAAGAGTCTCCCTGGTTGTTTTCCTCGTTACTAGTTATCCTGCACCCCGAAGGGCTCGCTTGCCCCCCAAAAAGCTACTGCGCGTCCTGCAAGTCGCCAACCCACCTCATGACCTAGCCGCTCACCGAAGTGAATTCTGTCTCGTTGAAAACCCCCCCACCTATGCACCTCTCTGTTTATTTCCACCACCTCAAAGCATTTCTCTCGACTCATCCGCCATATCTCTTGGTTTGCGTTGACCACCGCTCTTTGCAGGTTGCTATCACGCACCGGTACCTCCGGTATCGTGCATATCACTACCTGTACCTTAGAAGTGGCGCGCATGTCATCGACGCCTTTCGCCAGTGTGGCTGCTAGTCCTGCTGCATCTTCATTTAGGACATCGTTTAAACCGCCTGAAATTATCAGGAGGTTTCGTCTATCAGCTGTCGTTTTGAGCTTTGCGCTCGCTTGCCTCATGACTGCTTCCAGCTTGCGTCCTGGGAACGCCCCTACTGCAACCCTCTTGTCACCTCTTACCCTCTCTTTGATGGGTTCTGTGCATCGATTTAAATTCGAGTCCCCGGCGATTATCACATGCTGTGACTTTTCAGCTGGAGCGTTCTGCACCTGGGGGCTACTTGCACCTGTGACGCTGGCTGCTTTGTTCCCTCCCTGCTCCACCACTACCTCGCTGAAGCTGGGCCTTGCGACAGTTGAACCGGCTAAACCTGTTTTTTCCAAACTTGCTTGCTTTTCCTTCTCCACCGTTCTGGTTGCCGGTTCCCTACTGTTCTCTCGGTAGGTCGCTTCTTTGTTCAGCTTCGCTAGCGCTTCCTCGGCGGACTTCAGTCTTTCTCCCATTGCCCTCGTTTTCTCTTGCTCTGTCGTCAACGCAGTCTCGAACTCGGCGATTCTCATCAGCAGTTCACTCTGGGCAACCATCATTTTCTCCATTTTTTCCTCGACCTCACATTGCCTACACTTCGCGTCAGCCTCTTCATCATCCGCTTCTACGCTTGGGTCCACTTTCAAACCCACTCCACATCCTGAACACTTTAGTCTTTTTAACCATTTTTCTGACACCAATTGTCCCTATACTCGATAATTACTAAACTCGAGCCCTGCACTACGAAAAAAAAGGAAAAAAAGGAAAGTCTAAGCTCTACTACAAAAGTTTGCGTGTTCAATGTACGCGCACCTCCCCCACGGGGTGGCAAAAAAAAACAAAAAAATTCAAACACACACACCCGCACTAACTAATAAATACCTGGTGACTGGCCCCCGAAAAAGCCGTACCATAAAATAAGTGCTACGAAGATTTCAACCGCTGCCTTGTAATTATAAAGACAAGCTCAAAACATGCAAAAACACTTATCTGCGCAGTCGATCCGGAGCGCTCGAAAAACACGTCCATCCACCGTGACAGCCCTAACTAAAGATTCCGGGTTACACGGGACAAGTGGTGCCATCTAGCGGGGCGCAGTCGAAACAAAAGCGTCTGCGATTTTGAAGCCAATGGCGGGAAATTGATCAATGGCCGTTGTTGCTGCTGTGGCTCCAGCTGTTACTAGCGCAGTAAAGCCGGGCAACGTAGTGCACGGCACCAGCGACGTGAGACGGTCCGGTCGGTCCGCTTCTTGAGGCGGGTAATTTTAAGTGCGCTAATCCGATGCGGAGCACTGAAGCGTGGTTTTATTTCGATATAGGCCCTTCCTTGGCACGAAAGTAACACTACGAGGTTTAAGGACCACCATTTCAACAATCAACCTCGGCTTAATAATGGGCTTTTATGTCCCTTCAAGGCGTGGGCTAAGCGTCCCGTCGTAATCATATGCAGCCACTTCTCATTAGTCCTTGAACCGGCCGTAGAGGGCGGTACTTGTACATATAATATATATGGTCTGTTCAGCGACATCAATGCGGGAGCGGCCATTCCAGACGACTGGCATCAGGGCAGAGTCGGGAACCTCCAAGATTACCGACCACTCACAGTCACCAGCACCATGTACAGGCTCTTTACCCATGTGCCTAAGGACTGGATCAGTGGCTGGGCTGAATCTAAAGGGCAGCTGGCAGAACTGCAGAACGGTTTTCACAGAGGTCAACAATTTGAGGATAACCTTTTCGTCCTGACACAGTGTGCGGAGATTGCCAGAAAAGAAGGGCGTACGCTTCTATGCTGCTTCATGGGTGTGGAGAAAGCTTACGACAACCTTCCACATGACATCCTGTTCACACGCCAGGAGACACTGAGAATGCCGAAAGAGCTGCTGGCGACAGTCAGACGCCTATACACTGGCAATAGCGTCATTGCACACTTCACCAATGTAGAGATTCGGCCGGCAGGCGTCAGCAGGGGTCTCCGTCAGGGATGTCCGCTTTCGCCGATTCTATATCGGCTATACGTGTCGGGTATGAAACAAGCATTGCTCGAGTCCGGCCTGGGGTTCCGTGTAAAGTATTGCACAAGCGGAATCGATGAAAATCAACGGCTACCTGGCTTGACGTCTGCGGATGATGTGGTCCTAGTGGCAGAGACCTAAGCGGACCCACAGGCTCTCCTGGACATCTGTGCAGCAGATGTGACTGAGCTGAGACTACGCTTCAACGCCAAGAAAACCAAGGCTGTACCCTTCGCGGGCAACATGGCTGAGGCGGCAGACCTCAAGCTAGGAGGTGAGAGCATCGCCACTGACACTGCCTATAATTACTTAGGCGTGCTACTGTGTTCCGAGGACAGTATACACAGCCGGCAAGAAGTCCATCTCCGCCAGTATAGTAAAAAAATCCCAGCATATCCATGGAGTGAATGATGATGAGCGGGGCAAAGCGTCTATCAGTCCGTTCACGCTTTCGTTCATCAGTTCATTTTTGCTTCCGTCCATCCGTGCATCTGTCCGTCCATCCCTGCATTCGTTCATGCGTCCGTCCAGGCGTCCGTCCTCTCATGTTCATCCATTCGTCCGTATCTGCATTTGTCCGTCCGTCCATGCGTCAAACAGACAGCCGACAGAGGACGTGGCCAGCGGGTGATTCATGGTTTGCCGATAAAAAGTATGATATGTGCAAGGCGGCGGCAGTTCGCGCTCAACGACAGAACCCTAATGTGTGTGCGCGAAAAAATAGGAATGACGTTACACGAAGACATTGGCGATCGCGTGTGCGTCGGCAGCGCCGTACTCTAGGGGGCACAGTGTAGTAAAATAGAAGCCGCTCTGACGCGCGCGTGCATTCAGTAGGTCGGCGGATGAACAAGGCTGCAGAGCGGCGTGCGCGCTAGGCGGCGGCAGCAGCTCGCTTTCAAAGACAAAACCCCGATGTGCGAGCATACAAGGCTGAAGCGTGCCGTGAGGCTGCACGGTAACGCCGACAAGATCCCGATGTACGAAAACAGGAAATGAAAGCGGCGAGGCAGCGGCATGCGGACCCAGCTTCACCCCCCTCTCCACCATTCACCCCGTGGATATGGTGTCTTTTTTCTGTATGACCTTCCCTCTATTGTTCAACTCAGCACATTGACGTACAACATAAAAAATGCGCGAGAATTCCCAGTACCACAAAACTTATTTATTGCTCGTCATAGGCGGACAGTAAGAGGGAAGGGGGGCTGAGGGGCTTGATTCATTTGATATGTGGGTTTGATATGTGGGGTCCCAAAACCACCATACGATAATGACTAACGCCGTAGTGGAGAGCTCTGGAAATTTTGACCACCTGGGGTTTTTTAACGTGCACCCAAATCTGAGCACACGGGCCTACAACATTTACGCCTCCATCGGAAATGCAGCCGCCGCAGCTGGGCTGAGGGACTCGAGCCTGGTGTCTCCGAGCTGCATCATGAAGGCGATTTTTTCTTCCATCTGCACGCTGGGGTGCACCAGCTATACCAAGCCAGAGTTGAAGAATATGCTGATGCACTCTACGATACGGCGGCCAAAGGCCTTTTGCTGACAACTGCAAGAAGTCACACTGTTTTGTCACTGTGCACGGCTAGCAAAAAAAAAAAATATATAAAAAGGAGCAGCACACAGAATTGCACTTACAGGAGAAGCAAGCATTTACAAGTGCAACTGAATGCCAACAGAAGTGCAGAAACAAATTCTTTACTGCACTGCCAGAGTGCGAAAAAGATAAAAGGCATGGGAGGTTATTTAAAAAAAAAGCCTCACATGTCTCGGTTGGCTGTTTGAATAAGATGAATAAATCATTTATTTTTCATTTATACACACTGCAGACCACAATCTTGGTCTTAAACCAAACAGGCGAAATTTCACTAATATATTAATAAGGCACCATGCCACAGTAAAGCAAAATTGTTGCTATGAGGCTCAGTCGCCGCACTGAAGCTTCTGCAGACAATATATCCGGCCAGCTGACTACTAGCCACCCAGGATTTCATTTGGACGTTATGGAAGGCGTTCACTCTGCAAATAAAAAAAAATGAGCACATATTAGTGGTTTTTTTTTTTTTTTTTGCAGGCACCACAATCATAAACAACATGAGACCATCATATTGTCTTTCAGTTTTATGCAGGTGCTATGCTACAAAATGGCAAGAATACCCTTCGTTTTCCATCACAATGCATTTCAACCTCGGTGCATAGCGGCTTTTGTTTTGTTTTGCCACCTTTGAAGGCTCAGGTCAATACACCAAGATAGATAGATAGATATGTGGGGTTTAACGTCCCAAAACCACTATATGATTATGAGAGACGCCGTAGAGGAGGGCTCTTGAAATTTAGACCACCTGGGGTTCTTTAACGTGCACCCAAATCTGAGCACACGGGCCTACAATATTTCCGCCTCCATCGGAAATGCAGCCGCCGCAGCCGGGATTCGAACCCGCCCCCTGCGGGTCAGCAGCCGAGTACCTTAGCCACTAGACCACCGCGGCGGGGCCAATACACCAAGACACAAATTACAATGACAAAATCCAATATATATAGTTCAACCCACCCAAACTTATCAAATCTTACGGTAATCAAGATATTTTTGTGGAGTGCCAAATAAATATGTCCAATATGGGACATCTGCAGTGCACTTCTTGCAAAGTTTACTGTGCTTAATTAACCACCTAACGGAGCTGTATAGCACTAAAGATTAGAAAAAAAAATTTGTTAATAGCTATCTGTATCTTGAAGAAAATGCCTTCATCATTTTACCTTTATGCCATATAATTACAATAAGGTCTGATGCCTTCTTTGACATAATCAGTAAGAACAGTAATGTCCGATCAACATATTTTTCCTGATTGAAGTGATATGGATATTGTTAGGGGAACTGTACAAGAGTGCGGTGAAACATTTATTCACAGTTTGGATTAATGTATTACATATATGCATAGTATCGAGCTACGATCTTTTATAGGCCTTGCAGCAGGGATGTTACAATGGTTATATGAGGGGCGTTCATAATGTCCGTATTATCTGCATGATGAAAAACAAAGGAAAAACAAAATTAGAGTAAAACGTTATCTTTCTCGCCATATTCTTCTCCTAAAGTCACGCACTGCTAATGACAATGTGCAAGCCTGCCACAAACCATCGCAACAGAATTTAGAACAATACCTATTCAGAGTACACAAAAAACTCAACTTCAGAGTTCACTAGTGCACTGTCCCACAAATGTTTCCCACACAGTGCACTCTTCAGGCTAGGATAGAAGAAGGAGTCTCTTGATGCGACGTCAGTTGAATATGAGAGGAGGGGTAATATTTCGCAGCCTAAGGAGGTTGCACACGTCGGCCATGCCTGTGCAGCGTGACTGGGACTAGTCCTTTTGGGCAGTGCCATGTTTTGGTGCCCCAATAGCGTTGCGGGGTATTATAGAGAACAGATGTTTTTATTTCACTAAAACTAGATATACACAGACTCATTTTTATGACTATCGTTAAATCTTTCGATATGCCTATCCAACTAATAATAAAAAGTTTGTGAATGCCTACTGTACTTCTTACACCAGTTTCAACAGATCTGTGTTTAAAGGTAGTATACATAGTCTGGTAGGCAAAATTTTTTGCTACTGCAGTTGATCATTCTGTACAAAAGTAGCAGCACCAGACAGCCACCAATGAGAGCATGTAAAGTGTTGTCCAACTATAGGTGAAACAGGGAACCACAAACACATTTCTTAGACAGATATAGGAGAACTTGAACAAAAATGACTACTCCACCACTTAAGGGGGGGCGCGGCAAGTAAAGTGCCGATTTTGGTCAAAATATGCGATTTTCTGATTTATTTTTTTTCGTAATCTTCAGACCTTCAACTTCCTTGTTCTAAAATATTACAGCGAAACGTGCGCTACAAATCCCGCAAATAGTGTTTTTGCCGAGGCTAGTCGCCGAAAAGTGCGAAAAAAAAAGCCCCTGAAACGGTGTTGTTCACGCCGCACAAACGCGCCAAGTTGTTGACCGTGGGCCGCCATTTTGGTAGCTTTGGAAAGAGGAGAAAGCCGGCTTCCCGATGGTCGCGGTCTCGTATTTCGCCGAGTGAAAATAAAAGCGCGAGGAGCAAGTAAAAAAAACGAAAACGAAGAACGGCAATTGGCTGCGCGGGTCACGTGGTAGCAGGCGCGACCTCTTACTGGTCAAAGCTGCGCCGCGCACCTTGGCAACCTTGGAAGCGCGAGCGCATCTGCGGCCGCCGTGTCGAGAATCATCCGGCGTGCGCTTCGTTTTTTGCCAGTTTGCTGTTTTTGTGATAGTTCGCGTGCTTTTTTACCAAGCTTTGTTTACATCGGTGGTCTCTTCTGAGTGCTTGCTCATACTGCGGTGCTATGTTGCCGCAAAAAAAGTTCCGGAGCGTCCACAAGTACGGCAAGCGTCGGAAAGCTTGGAACAAAGGGCAGACGACTGCGGCTGCCGTCCCAGTCGCAGTTCCGGACGGAGCATGCTCTTCAAGCGTCACGGAGCCTCTACTCAGACCCTTCGCTGATTGTTGTGAGGCCGAGAGTGTGGAAGGTGCCACATCGTCGTATGTCAGACCGCCGGATGCCGTCGACCGTGATGGACGCTCTCGCGAACCCGATTGCGGTGGCACCGCGTCGGCAGCCGTTGCAACTCCGGGCGTGCGCGCGTCGAACATTCTATCGCGAGTTTCGGCCCAGATTCCGAGCAGTGAAGAAATCGCGCAGCGGGCGCAGACAAGGCGGGATGTTTTGGATGCCGTAGCATCGAAGTCCGCTTCAAAGCGGAAGCTCGAGCTTCTGAACGAAGGCTGCGACGAAAATGACGGCGGTAAGGACTCCACATTCTTCATTGTAAATAAGAAGATGCTGAACGGTCTGCTTTCGTCAGTAAAGTGCAACAAGTGCGACGAAGGGTCGATACGCCTCGAGACTACGCACTGCCTTGGACTCGCGGCGAGGATGGAACTTTTTGTGACAATTGTGGCAGAGTGAACAGTGCGTGGTCGTCCCCGAGGTGCTCCGGGCAACAAAAAACGAACCCCTTTGAGGTAAACGTGCGTGTTTTGAGGGCTGTGCAGTCAGTTGGCAGAAAACAATCTGCCATAAATGACATTTTTTCTGCGATGGACATTTCGCATCGAGCACTGCACCACAAGTCCTACCAGAGACTGCAAAGGAAGTACAGCCACCCTGCCACCACATCAGCTGCCACCCGCATTGAAGCAGAAAGTGCACAGAAGGTGCATGACATTTACAAGGACCTAGGAGGAGTGCCAGGCAACATTGACGTCATTTACGACGGCACGTGGATGACGAGGGGGCACAGAAGTCATATTGGCGTGGGCTGTGTAATCGAGCTGTACACAGGCTTGGTCTTGGACCACTGTGTCCTGTCCAACTACTGCCAAGGCTGTGCTGTTGGCCCCAAGCCTGGTGACGACAACTATGAGGAGTGGCTTGAGAAACACAAGCCACAGTGCCAAAAGAACACCGATGCTAATGCAGGCCAAATGGAAGTAGAAGCAGCTAGGATCATGTTTGAAAGATCGTTTACCAAGTACAAGCTTCGATACATCAATGTGCTCTGCGACGGTGACAGCCGTACGTACCTTGCCCTCACGCAAGACAAGGTGTATGGCTACATGGTGATTAAGAAACAGGAGTGTGTGAACCATGTGAAAAAAAGAATGGGCACTTCCTTGCGCAACCTTCTTGATGAGCACAAATCCAAAGGCCGAGGACTGAGCATGGGTGGCAAAGGCCGGCTGACGCAGGGCCTGATAAAGAAGTTGACGAATTATTATGGCTGGGCCATTAAGAGCCACCCCAACGATGTTCCTGGCATGGAGAGGGCCATCATGGCCACTTATTACCATGTAACATCCACAGACCAGGATCCACACCACAACCTGTGCCCAAGTGGGACTGACTCCTGGTGCCCGCACAATCAGGCATTGGCCAAGGGAGAGCCGCTGCCGCCTCACAAACATAAACTGCCCCCTCACGTGCGAGTGGCACTGCTGCCAATCTACAAGCGCCTCTCGAACAAAGAGCTCCTTGAAAGGTGTGCGCAGGGAAAAACCCAGAACGCTGTGGAGAGTATGAACAGCCTCATTTGGTCACTCCAGTCCAAGAGCCAGTTCGCCTCCCTTCGAAGTGTGGAAAGTGCAGTTGCAGATGCAGTCTGCCGTTTCAATGGTGGATGCAAGAGTGCGCTGCAAGAGATCACTGCTCAACTGGGCTTCAATCCAGGAGACTGCTCTTTGCGGCGAGCAGCCGAAAAGGATGCCAAAAGGGTAAAGAGGGCTCAAAAGGCGCATTGTTCCACGACAAAGAAGCGCAAAACTGGGTTGCGCTCTACAGAGGCCAAGGCCACAGCATCTCAGGATTACTGCCCAGGAGGATTCTGAGTGTTTTAGGCATGTTGTGAACTTCCAAACAAGAGTGAACTTTCAAAGTCAGTTTTCTCAACTCTTGATTTTCGCCTATGTGCCTTCGCTAGAACATCCGTCATTTTCTAACAAAGACTGATAGAGTCGTTCCGTTTTTTGCACTAGGCTCAGGAGGCCTTTAGCAGTGCAATAAAGCTTTATCTCTCTTCTTACTCATCATTTAAAATTTTTAGAACACATTTTATAATTACTGCGATGTGTGCGCAAAACAACATTCATGTTTTGGAAATTTTATTTATGGTTACAAGAACTAGAAAAATCAACTAATAGCTTCTTTGCACAAGTTGATGCTTTGGGAACATAATAATATGAAAAAATAATTTCATTTAGCAATAATTATCTCTTTAAGTGTGAAGAGCATTAATTAGTATAATTATGCTTGTAACTCAAAAAGTACAAGAGGTATTTGAAAACGGTTTTCATATTTGGAATCCTCACAATCATCCACATACACACACCAAATTTCATCACAAACAGTACATTAATAAAAAAATTAGTTTTACTTGCCACGTCCCCCCTTAAACCAAGAATAATTCACCATCCCAACAGAGGCCTTGAACACAAA